TGGGGGCTCTGGGCTGGGCTTTGGGGTCTCCAGTCCCTGGGGCCGGTGCAGAGCTGTGCCTGTCCCTGTCCCCAGTGCGGCTGCTGCGGGAGGAGCTGCAGCTGCTGCAGGAGCAGGGATCCTACGTGGGAGAGGTGGTGAGAGCCATGGACAAGAAGAAGGTGCTKGTCAAGGTATGAGGCTGAGCTGCCCTGAGGGTGACAGGGCTGGGGTGGGGGCTTGGAGACCCTTCCTGTGTCCCCACAGGGGGTGGGACAGGTCAAGGATGTRGGGTGACAGCTCCTTGTCCAGGGGAGCTCGCTGGGATGGCTCTGCTGGGGCTGCCCTGGGGTGTCCAGTGGGGCTGGAGCTCCTGCTACCTCCAGGCTTGGTGGACATCCCTAAACTGGGAACTTCCCCAGGAAACAACTCCTGGAAATGATTCCCTTCCTTYCCAGGTGCACCCAGAGGGGAAGTTTGTGGTGGATGTAGACAAGAACATTGACATCAACGATGTGAGTGTGGGAGGGGTCCTGGGCGTGCCCCCAGGGCTGGCAGGGCCACCCAGCCCCCTGTGCTGTCCCCACAGGTGACCCCCAACTGCCGCGTGGCACTGCGCAATGACAGCTACACCCTGCACAAGATCCTGCCCAACAAGGTGGACCCGCTGGTGTCCCTCATGATGGTGGAGAAGGTGCCCGACTCCACCTACGAGATGATCGGGGGTCTGGACAAGCAGATCAAGGAGATCAAGGAGGTCATCGAGCTGCCCGTGAAGCACCCGGAGCTCTTTGAGGCRCTGGGCATYGCCCAGCCCAAGGCAAGTGCYGCCCTGGGGGTGCTGGGTGTCCCCRTGTCCCCTGCCAGGCTCTGAGGTGTCCTGTGTCATTGCAGGGGGTGCTGCTCTACGGCCCCCCTGGCACGGGGAAGACGCTGCTGGCCAGGGCTGTGGCCCATCACACCGACTGCACCTTCATCCGTGTCTCGGGCTCCGAGCTCGTGCAGAAGTTCATTGGGGAAGGTACCGGGAGCAGGGGGTGGCTCTGGGGGCCGGGCAGCCTCGGGGCCAGGCTGATCCCTGCTCCCCTCACTCCCAGGGGCCCGCATGGTGCGGGAGCTGTTCGTGATGGCGCGGGAACACGCGCCCTCCATCATCTTCATGGACGAGATCGACTCCATYGGCTCGTCGCGCCTGGAGGGCGGCTCGGGCGGTGACAGTGAGGTGCAGCGCACCATGCTCGAGCTCCTCAACCAGCTCGAYGGCTTCGAGGCCACCAAGAACATCAAGGTAGGGGGCCGGCCCTGCCTGGGGACCTGGTGGCCCCACGGTGGTGGTGCCCAGGCTGTGACAGTTGTGTCCCCCCTGTGCAGGTGATCATGGCCACCAACAGGATTGACATCCTGGACTCAGCGCTGCTGCGCCCCGGCCGCATCGACAGGAAAATTGAGTTCCCCCCTCCCAACGAGGAGGTACCAGACCCCCCACCAAGCTGTCCCTGCTGTCCCCACCCTCTGGGAGGCACTCCTGGGTGCCAACCCTCACTGTGCCTGTGCTCCAGGCTCGCCTGGACATTCTCAAGATCCACTCGCGGAAGATGAACTTGACCCGGGGCATCAACCTGCGGAAAATCGCGGAGCTCATGCCGGGTGCCTCGGGGGCTGAGGTGAAGGTGAGCTGGGGACTCTGGGGACAGNTGGTGGTGCCCAGGCTGTGACAGTTGTGTCCCCCCTGTGCAGGTGATCATGGCCACCAACAGGATTGACATCCTGGACTCAGCGCTGCTGCGCCCCGGCCGCATCGACAGGAAAATTGAGTTCCCCCCTCCCAACGAGGAGGTACCAGACCCCCCACCAAGCTGTCCCTGCTGTCCCCACCCTCTGGGAGGCACTCCTGGGTGCCAACCCTCACTGTGCCTGTGCTCCAGGCTCGCCTGGACATTCTCAAGATCCACTCGCGGAAGATGAACTTGACCCGGGGCATCAACCTGCGGAAAATCGCGGAGCTCATGCCGGGTGCCTCGGGGGCTGAGGTGAAGGTGAGCTGGGGACTCTGGGGACAGYGGGGCTGGCACTRGGGTGCCCTGGGTGCCATCTCTGTCCCTGTCCCCTCAGGGGGTGTGCACAGAGGCCGGGATGTATGCGCTAAGGGAGAGGAGAGTGCATGTCACACAGGAGGACTTTGAGATGGCTGTGGCCAAGGTAGGTGACAATGGGGGGTGACAGGACACAAAGTGTCCTGGGTGGTGTCTGCCAGGCCCTGGGAGCTGCAGGGGTGGGGAGGGGACAAACAAGGAGGCTGTCACCACGTGAGTGACAGGGAAGAGGCTGGGACACACAGCTTGGTTGAACTGGGTGCTGTGCTTTCCCATGCATGCTAAACCTGGCCCTTGGGGGCGGTTTTGGGGTAATTAATGCCCAGTTTGGGGCTGAATGCTGCACCCACCCTGTCCCCTTCCCCCCCAGGTGATGCAGAAGGACAGTGAGAAGAACATGTCCATCAAGAAGCTGTGGAAGTAACAGTGAGGCCGGAGCTGCCCCSGCCCTGCTGTCCCCTCAATAAAGAGCTGCCATGGCCAGGCCTGGGCACTGAGTTGGGGACTCATTTGGGGACGGGCTGGGGGCTGCAGGGCACAGCAACCCCCCTCCTCCAGAGCTGCAGGACACAGCACACAYCCCACAGAGCTGCTGCTAACTGGTTTTATTAGAAAAGATCCAAAATAGACAAAAACTGGTTACACAAGAGGCAGAGCAGGCACCCCTGAGCCCAACCCTGGGAATCTGTAAACGCCCCCCCCACCTCGGGAGCCTGCGGGGGGGAGGGGGGCCAAGGCACTTCAGTAGGGTGGCAGTGGTGGCGTGGTCCCCTCCCTCCTCCCCAGTATCTCCAGTTCTCAGTGTCCCCAGTGCCTGCAGGCTCCTGGGGCAGAGCCACCCCCTCTGCCCCCCAAACCTTGTCAAGACAAGTGGTTAATTATGGAATGGTGTAAAACAGCGGGAGGGGGAGAAGGAATAAACTGATTGTCACAAACTGAACCCCAGCCCTCGGTTCCGTGTCCCCAGAGCAGCCCTGGGAGCCCCCCTGAGCCCAGTGCAGGAAGAGAAACTCAATCAATATATTAATTAATCAAATACAAACCCACTGTACAAAACGCTGCCTTTTTTTTCTGCATTTTTTTATATAAAACCTGTTCACAAAAATAGTGCAAAACATCGGGGGCCGGGGAGGCTGGCATTTGGAATGACGAACTTTGGTCGAAGAGGGGCCGGGCAGGGCCCGCTGGGCTCGGGGAGGGGCCGGCAGCTCCTCCCGCTGGGCTCAGACAGCGCTGCCCGGCTCCCGGAGGGGTTTGGGCAGCACTGCCCGGCTCCCGGAGGGGTTTGGGCAGCGGGGAACCCGCGGGGGCTGCTCGGGCAGGGGCGCGATGCGAAGCGGGGGCGGCGCTGCGGGGTTTGTGGGGAGCGGGGACCCCGCTGTGCCCGGCCCGGGGGGAGCCCGGGGGGGCGGGGGGCTCCCAGCCCTCCAGGCACGTCGGGTTTGTGCAAGTGCTGAGGCTTCCAGTCGGTACCGTCCGGCTCGGGCAGCGGGGCAGGGGCGGCCCAGAGCCCCGCCCGCCTTAAGTGAGGCGGATCCCGAGCACTTGTTCCAGTTCCTGCCGGCGCTGCTGGACCTGGGCACAGCCGGGGAGTCAGGGGGGCACAGTGGACGCGGCCCCCTGTCCCCCTGTCCCAGGGTCGGCCAGTGCCATCCCGGCCCCGTGCCCACTGCCCCAAACTCACCTTGGCGAAGATGTGCCGGCCCACGGCCTCCTGCGCCCAGGGCTGTTGGTAGAACTCGGCGCGCCGCTCCTCCTCAGGGTTCCCGATCACATCCGTGATGATCTGAGGGGACAGGGCGTGAGGAATGAGCTCTGGGAACGGCCCAGAGCCCTCCCTGAGCTCTGGGATGGACCCAAAACCCCTTCCTGAGCTCCAGGAATGATGCAGAACCCTCCCTGAACTGCAGGATGGATCCAGAGCTTGCCCTGGGAACAGTCCAGACCCTTCCCTGAGCCCTAGGATGGACCCAGAGCCTTCCCTGAGCCCTAGGATGGAACCAGAGCCTTCCCTGAGATCCAGGATGGATTCAAATCCCCCATGAGATCCAGGATGGACCCAAGCCCCGCCCAGCTCTCAGTCTGCCCAGCTCTGAGGGTTCAGAATGATGGAATTGTTAAGGTTGGAAAAGCCTTTCACCCCATAACCCAACACCAGCCCCATGTTCCCCACTGACCCCTGTCCCCAAGTGTCACATCCATGTTTTTGACCCCCTCCAGGGAAGGGGACTCCACCCCTGCCCAGGCCAGCTCTGCCAGGGCTGGACAATGCTTCCCATGGAGCAATTGTCCCCAAAATCCAACTGAAACCTCCGCAGCAATGGTTGCCCTTTACCTTGAGGTCCCTCCTCTGGGATTTGATCCATTCCTGGATGAAATCCTGGGGGTTGTTGCTGAAGCTCAGCATGAAATCCCTCTGTGTCTTCAGCTGGTTGATGGACTCGATGGTCTCATGGATCTGGGGAGGTGACACGGTCAGAGGGGCTGTGTCCCCATAGAGGGGCTGTGTCCCCATCCCGTGGAGGGTCAGAGGGGCCATGTCCCTCCTGTGGAGTCAGCGGGACTGTGTCCCCCCAGAGGGGCTGTGTCCCTAAAGGGGCAGAGGGGCTGTGTCCCCTCCCCCAAAGGGTCAGTGGGACTGTGTCCCCATAAAAGGGTCGTGTCCCCCCACAGAGGCTGTCCCCCCAGAAGGGTCAGCAGGGTTGTGTCCCCCCAGAGGGGCTGTGTCCCCCAGGCTGTCCCTGGCTGTTTTCCCCCCACCCGAGCTGTCCCCAGTTGTGTCCCCCCGGGCTGTCCCCGCTCTGGGCTGTCCCCAGCTGTGTCCCCCAGGCTGTCCCTGCTCTGGGCTGTCCCAGCCATGTCCCCCCCAGGCTGTCCCCTCCCCCGGGCTGTCCCCAGCCGTGTTCCCCCGACCTTGGCATCCAGCGAGGCGATCTCCTGCTGGTTGGTGGTGGAGGCCAGGAAATTGCTCATCTGGGCCTTCAGGGGGTCGTCCACCTCCACATCGATGTCGTAGCATGCCGTCTTCTTCTGGTCATTGGGGTCCACACTGTGGGGGAACACGGATCAGCCCCACCCTGCTGGGGGAGGGGGGATGGACCCCCCACCCAAACCAGCACCCCAAGAAGCCCCACATTCGGTGGCTTCTCCCCTCCTGGGTGACCTTCGGCGTGGAGACCTTGGAGCCTCCTGTGCCCTCCCGGCCCTGGGGACACAGCCTGACCCCACATCTACCCTATGAGACACCCCCAGCC